GCTGTTCCAGAGGCAGCAGTGGGGACTCCCTGTTCCTCGAGAGCAGCTCCTGCTCAGGCTCCCACGGGGTGAGCCAGATCAGCTCTAATGAGAGAACAATGGTGTGAGCTGGATGAAAGGCTCCATCTGTCAAACTTCATCATGGCTATTTTAAAAATAAACGGAGGCATTTGGTTCTCCCTGCAGTGTGTAGCTGCCTGCCAGCTGGAGCTCTGAGTCTGAGCTCTGATTGTGACTGAGTCCCTCCTCTCCCCAGCTCGTTGTATCTAATGACATTAAAACTGAGGGGAACACACACTGCTTAGGAGGGACATAAAAACAGACAGGTAATACCAACTGTCTTTATCCTCTGAGAAGCACAGTGATGCTTTTCCCCTGTTGTTTTGGCTGCTCTCTTTGCTGGGTCCTGCCAAGGCAGTAGTTCTCCACCAGAGCCTGTGGAGTGGCTGTAAGGGAGGCCATGGGCAGCTGAGGGCACAAGCCACCCATGCCTCCCATCCCCACTGGGCAGGGGGGGCCATCCCAGCACTCATCAGTCTCCATGGCTTCATCAGGAATTCGGGATTAGTAGGTGGGAAAGGTGCTGAAACAGCCTGGCTTACAGTGACCCTCAACCTCCCCTGATGGGAATTCTTCCATGCAGAAGGGTGGTGGCAGGGCAGCCTTGCCTTGGGATGGCCCTGGACAGCTTGGCTGATGGGATAGAAAACACAAACAGCACTGGGTGGCTGCAGGCACGTTAGCTCTTGATCCACAGGCTCTTTCTGGATGAATTCAGCACTGTTCACCTGTAAGGAAAGATGCAGATTTTTGTAAGTTCAGGATAAATTGCTTCCTTGTCTGGCCACTGCTGCTGTCACTGTAATTAGGGGGAGGGCAGGGGCAGGCTGAATGCCCCAGTAAAGGCATAGCAGCAATATGCTGTTGGTCCTGATGCAAAACACTTAACCAGGAATTACCACAGAGAAGGTGGGCAAGTGCTCCCTCTCTTTAGGAGACAACAGGCAGGAGGGACAGGACAGCAGGAGGCCAGGTTATTTCTCATAAATTCTAGACCACAAAATGGGTGGACAGTAAGCTGACAGTTTTATGTGTTTTACAAAACTGGGGTAAAGCTGTAGAAAAAAATCCATGAAAAAATTGATCTTGCCTTTGGTCATTAGAAGTCAAACTGATTATATTTTACAAGCAGTGTCTGTGCTTAGACTGTACTTTTTGCAGTGTTCAGTGGGAGGCTGGGGACACTGGGCAGGTTTCTAGGTGCTCTCAGACTCTCTCATCATGGAAGAATCTCTCCTGGCTCAGGATCTGTGGCCAAGAATTTGGAAACCTCCCTTCTCTGCCAAAGGGATGTCCCTCTCCCCAGTCCCACCCCTGAGTTGCAGTTTTGTTCCCTTTTGTTAGCACCAGCAGGGTCTGCAGCACAGGCAGAACACAGGCACGAGTCTCAGGAGCTGCTGAAGTGCAGTGCAGGCTGTTAATACACACACCTTTATTCACTTACCGTGTCCTGCCCTCAGCATTTGTGACCAAAGGCCATTTTGCTTCCTACCTGTGCTTTTTTAGCAGGTCAGTAGTAACACAAAGCCAGCCAGGAGTCTGCCTCTCCAGCTCCAAGGTGATGATCACCAAGACCAGCGTGGAGCCCCTGAACTGCACGAGCTGGTGGGAGGCCATCCAGTGCTGCAGCTGCCTGGTGAAGAGCGCGACGTGGAGGGAAGGATTCCTCTGAGGCAGCTGGGGGAGATGGGGCCAGCAGGACACCACATGGCATGGGACTGGAGAGAAGAGAGAGTGTACATATATATATATATATGAATATATATACAAAGAAAAGCAGAGGTCAGTGAAGTTGATATGTTTTCATATATCATCACCCAGAAGTACAGATGAATTTCATCTCATAGCAGGAAACCCGAAGGCTTCCCCCACCTTTTTCTTTGTGTTTTGTGTTTGTACTTGCCAATCATTGAACTGATAATGAATGTACAGGGTCTGTGTTTCCTAACAATCTCTGAAGTTTCTACGTTATCCAGATTGCTGCCCAGGAGATTCAGTTCAGGCCAGCAGCTCCAAATCCAGCAAAACCAGTAATTCCAACTGCACTCTGAATTTCCCGAGGAAACAAGCACCTGCAAAAGGCAGTTTTCACAATCAGCAGCCTCTAATGGCTCGATATTTGCACATAACCTTAAAAAAGGGATCCAGGATGTGTTTGTATCACATGAATTTTGCCTTACCAGCACATGATCGTTTCTTGAAGATAAAGTTTAATTGTTTCTATCAAATGTTCAGTAACTGCAATGTGAACTAAGTGCCAGATCGGGGTAGTCTCATTGCATAAATAATTAGTGGGATGAAAAGGAAAATGATTTAAGGAAAAACCTGTGTGTGAAATGTAGCAAAACTCTGACAGCTTTCTATGTACAGTATTAATAGAAGGGAAATAGTTAGAAATATTTTTGCAGCGTGTATTTAAAAAAATAAAAATGGCATAGAGTTGTGCATTATGAGAATCTTTTTAATGTCCATTTTAGTTGTCCTTTAAAGACAGGAGTAAATTTTTTTCAGCAAAAAGAAAGGTTTTAAATAGTAGAAAATTTTAAAAATTAATTTTAAAAGAAAATTACTGCAATATTCTTTAAAAGACTTGCAGATAGGTAGGAACAGGTAGTTTGCAGAGCATCTTGGGAAGGATGTGTGTGTGTGTGTGTGTGTGTGTGTGCATCTGTGTTTTCTAGTCTTATTTGATAAGGAGTTGTTTCTTTAAAGAAAAAAGTTGCAAAACATAGTGCTTACAGTGTTTAAGGAATCCATTGGTGGTGTTGTGTAAAGATCCTGCTGAAGCTCATCCAGGATAATTCTTTCCATTCTCAAGATCTCGGCTGGAGAGCATTTACAGCTGCTCTGCACCACCAGTGTCTGCACCAATGGGATTACCTGTAAAAAAATTTAAAAATTTAAAAAATAAAGAAGCCAACGTCCTACACAGTGCTGTGTGTGCTTCTCTGTATGGTGAGGGGATCTGACAAGGTTAAACACGTCTGTGGGAAGCAGAATGCTCATCCAGGAGCCCTTGTTACTTGGGGTAAACAAGTTAACGCTTCTTCATTACGCCCAAGTTGTTGAAAGACCTGGAAACATGAACAACTTTTAGTGTGTTGAAAATGAAACATGCAGACCTCGTCCTCTCCACTGGTTTGTGCTGCAAGGACAAGAAATCGCAATGCACTGGAGATATTTTAATTGGGCCTGAAGGGAGAAGAAGAAAACATCAAATAAAGAAGAGAAGAGTCTTGGGGAAATAATTGCATTCTGTGACACGTGCACAAGTTTCAAACTTTCATTTGATTTCACTTGCTTCTGAATTAGTTTAGCTACAGAATCTAGAAATAGAACAAGGAAATTCAAAAGTGAAGCAGAATAAATCCTCTTATTGGTTCAACCTTTATTCCTGTATCCCACAATTCTTAGACTATGCAATGCCACATTATTTACAATGCAATGTTACTCCTCTTCTCACCTCAGATACTGGTTCAGACTGGACTTCAGGAAGAATTTCTTCATGGAAGGGATGGTTAAGCCCAGGGAGGTGTTGGAGTCACCATCCCTGGAGGTGTTGGCTGAATGGCTGGATGTGGCACTCAGTGCTCTGGTTTAGTTGACAAGGTGGTAATTGGTCAAAGGTTGGACTTGATGATCTTGGAGGCCTCCTCCAACCTTAATGATTCTGTGATTCTACATGCCAGCATCAATCTAAATGGAATTGAGAGCTGCAAGGCTCAGCTCAACTCCTAACTTTGCTGTTGCTCCAGTGGCAGAAAATGTCAGCCCCATAGTTTGGTTAAAAATTGTAGTTTCAAAACTAAAATGTGAAAAGCAATAACATGAATGCTTTGTGTTTAGCAGAGACAACCAGATGATAATGAGTTCTTTGGACTTATCACAGCATTTGGACTCAGTTCACACAAACACTCCTAACGAGGACTGTGCATCAGTGGAACCTCATCAAACACTCAAGTTCATACATGTTTGTATGTGTGTGCTTAAAGGCCTTCCCCAGCAACGACCCCGACTGCTCCCTAAATCTGCTGCCAGACATAGTCCCTGCTTTGTGTGTAAACTGATTACGTGCTCCTTACATTCCCAGGCAATCATCTGGCCAGGGAAAAGCTGAGAGATCTCTGCCTTCACTGATGCCAACAGCCTGTTGAAGATGCTGGGCAAACATTTCAGGGTAAAACTGGAACTTGGAGCTTATTTCTGCAATCCAGAGAACTGCTTTCTTGTAACTCAACAGAGAGATATCTGTGCCCTGAGGGGGAGGAAAAGTTAGAAGAAAAATGTGGTTAGTGCTTTGATGATTTTGTTAAACCGTATCTCCAAAGGAAGACTCAAATCTTGTTAAGTGCTCTAATTAGCATTTTGGATGTCCGGAGGCTGGAAATGAAGGGAGTTGTCGGCTGTGTCTGCAGAGGGAGGGTGAGGGCACATTTCAGTGCTGTTTAAACCGCTGGTTTGTGTTGCTCACCCAGTCGTGCCCAGCTGGGTGACCCAGGCCTGGTACTGGGTTGTACTGAAGTACTGACTGGGGAAGCACCCAGCCCTCCCAAAACGAGCTCTTACAAACAAGGTGCTGAGCGTGCTTGTTATTCCCACCCTGGGAAAACTGAAGCCTCGATGCAGCACCTGTTCCACTCAGGCAGCCTCGACAGAGAAACTGGGCTCAGGAGCAGGTTTTGATTTACTCTGCAAGAGTTTTAGCAGCCCTTGAATTTGCTGAGCATTGGGACCACAGAGCCAGGTTTGTGACTCCCTCAAGGCACCTGGAAAAATATACTGGGTTTTTTCTTTCTTATATCTTATTTGAAGCTGCTTTGAGGTGAGAAGGCAGCCTCTGGCTGCCATGACAATGCACACAGGACCCAGCCTAAGCCAATATTTACAGGAAATAAACATCTCTGAATCATATCAGGTAAGAACCAAGCAATGAGAACATCTCAGCCTGAAACTATTTCAAGTGTTTATTCAAGACACTATTTTGGTGTCTCTTTAACATCAGAAAAAGTATGGTACTTGGTATAAAATTTCTGCTTTTCTTTCCAAAGAGTGGTGGATGTGGGCTTCCTCATCAGGGTATCCTGGGAACTCACACCATTGTCTCTGCAGCTCCATTAAAAACCCCAAGTTCCATGAACCCTCTGGGGACCACTGTAAGCTGGAACTCTGTACTGTTCCCCTGAAAGCAGGTACCACACATGACTTTGGCTTCGGCTGCATCCAAACCTGGCTGCCCAGGGAGAACTGGAAATGATTTATCTGAGCGGTTCGACGCACAGAGAACTTTAATCCTCTGCAGTTGGGAGGGGGAAACAAGAATTAGTCTCACCCTCTGGCTAATTTCAACTTCCCTGAGAAGGACAGCGAGCAGCTCCTGCAGTGCCTGGACAGCCCATCCGCCCCATGGGCCATCTCTCTGCAGGCACTGCTGGAAGCCTCGGCTGGGAGCTTCGATGCCCATCCTGGGAAAACGCAGCCCTGCATCACCAACCTCCGCTCTCCGGGTCCACACCGCGCTTCCCAGCCCAGGCAGGTCCGTCTCACCCGCACAGGGTCTCCCTGTTCTCTCCCCAGCCCCTTGGGTGTGAAACGACTCTCTCAGTCCGTGAGTCTCAGCGTTCAACACAGCTCTGGGCAGCACCGGGGCAGTGAATAAACTGCAAAGTGACTGTTTGAACACCTGGTCCTCGTACCTCCTGACTCACCTGGTGACACTCCCTGGGGTGAGGAAATGGCCCTGTCAGTCATTCCGGCCCTGTGACACACCGGTCAGTGTGGTGGAGGAGTTCTGGAAGCCCCAGATCAATCCTGTCCACATTCCTGCTCCCGCCTACGTCCCTCTGGCAAAAACACAGCACAGCTGACACACAGCCCTTGGTTTGTGCCTGTGCTTGGTGCTCCGTGCTGGGCATTCCTGGCCTTGCCCCAGGGTCCCAGGCCCTGGTTGTCCATAGCCAAGGCAGCGAGGGCAGGAGTGGGACTGGAACAAGGCCCTGTGACCTGCCAGCAGGATTTGGGTGTGCAGAAACACCTGGGGGGAGCAAGACAGGTAGGATTGAGGAGCCAGGGAAACTATTCATGGACCTTTCCTGTTGCACAAAATTTTGTCTTTGACTCTTAGTGACATATTATGAAAGGAAAAAGCCAGGTTGTCAGAATAACTTAGTCTCGTTCCTGTAAATGTATGGCACGTGCACAGTGGGATGTGGACATGCAGCGGGGTGAGTAGAACAGCAGGTGTGGAGGATCCCAGCACCATCCCGTGAGAATTTACACTAAATGGCAGATAACCTGGACACGGCCTCTTCTATGCACGGGGCTAATTGATTTCTGTGCCACTTAGTCTGTATTGTTTATATTTAAGGCACTCTGCATTCCTTCTATCTCAGGAGTAATTCAGAACGTTCCCGTCAGGAAAAGGAGGAGATGGATTTTCTGTGTGGAGAACAGGCTGGAGCTGCAGCCCCGTCAGAGCCCCAGAAACCCGTCAGAGCCCAGTCAGAGCCAGTGAACCCCAACCAGAGTGCTCAGAGCCCGGTCAGCCCCCCCGGACCCCGATCATCCCCCTCAGAGCCCGGTCAGCTCCCCCGGACCCCGATCATCCCCCTCAGAGCCCAGTCAGCCCCCCCGGACCCCGATCATCCCCCTCAGAGCCCGGTCAGCCCCCCCGGACCCCGATCATCCCCCTCAGAGCCCCTTCAGAGCCCGGGCGGTGTCCGGGCCCGCCCCCCCACCCCGCCGTTCCCATGGCGACAGGACGCTCCGCCCGCCCCCGCCGCTCCGGCCCCGTCATTGGCTGGGCCCGCTCCGGCCCCGCCTCCTCTGGCCGGCCATTGGCGGCGGGGCCCCCGCAGCGCGCGCGGATTGGGCGCGGGGCGGGGCGGCGCAGGCGCGGTGCCGTTATTGTTCCGCGGTGCCGCCGCCCGGGCGGTGCTGCCGCCGCCACCATCGCCATCATGCCGGTGAGCCGGGGGGGTGCGGGACACGGGAGATGGGATACGGGACACACACACGGCGGCCCCGCGGCTGCTGCGCACCTCGGCCCGCCGCGGGCAGGAGCCGCCGCGCCCGGCGTGGGCTGGCAGGGGCTCGCAGGCCCCGCCGCTCCCGTGCGGGCGCCTGTCAGGCCGAGCGGGCCGGGGGCGGTGGGGGGCTGCGGGCGGGCGAGGTCCCGTGGCAGCGGGGGCTGGAGGGTTCTGCCTCTCCGGAGGGTCTCGCCCCCATCCCCGCGGGCTCGTGGCGGCTCCCGAATCCCGCCCCTGGGTTTTGGCCGCACGTCGTGTGCGGTCCCTGCCCCGCCCGGGTGGGGCTGAGCCGCTCCCCGCGTTCGGCAGCAGCCTCTGCTGAGGCCTGAGGGGGAGCCGGGCAGGGGGGAGAGGCTTTTGTTTTCTGTTGACATCCAGCAGCGCTGCTCTAGCAGGAGGTGTCTGCTCAGCCGCAGCACCTCGCGCCGAGAGGAGTGTCTGAGGCTTAACTAGAGCAAATGGGCTTTAGGTTTATTTAATCAGGAGAGCATGTGACAGCAGATTCATCAGCCGCGCTTCAAGATTTGTTTTGGTAACTGCATTAAAAAAAAGGTTTGTGAGGTTTTATAATACAACATTCGGATTTTCTAAACGATTACATTTCAGCAAGTACACTGAGGGTTGTAAGTGAAATGAATTCCCTTCAGCAGTGCTCCCTGCTCAAACCTTTGTGAGGTTTGAGAGTGTGGTCAGTATTAATGTGAAAGAATGACATGGCTGCACACAGTTCCAGCAAACTGCTTGCAGGTTGCTTGCAAGCATGAAAGCATTTCCTGAAAAGACTCTTAGACCGAGTTGAATATGAAATGCTCAAGGATTACTCATTGAGTTTCCCTGTTGGCAAACGAGCAGGTTGCAGTGAGTGATTAAATGTGTGTTATTCTCTCAGCTTTAATTATAAACCAGTTCAGGTTTTAACTCCCTAAGTTCACAATCCTGTAGAGATGTGTGCAGCTGCTTGAGCTGATTTGACAGCATTTGTGCTTAAACACACAGTGATTTCATCCTGACAGGGGGCAGGGTTAGATGAGATACTGAGAAGAAATTGTTCCCTGTGAGAGTAGTGAGGCCCTGGCACAGGTTGCCCAGAGAAGCTGTGGCTGCCCCATCCCTGGAAGTGTCCAAGCCCAGGGAGCAACCTGGGCTAGTGGAAGGTGTCCCTGCCCATGGCAGGGGGTGCAATGGGTTATCTTTAAGGTCCCTTTCAACCCAAACTGTTCTATGATTCTGTGTTCACACTAGCATTACCCCCTGTGTGTTTTTTGGTTTTCAAACACTTGCAGATCAACAAGCCTGAGAAGCTGGACAGGCCTGAGAGCTGTGACAATGTCAAGGTGGTGGTTCGGTGCCGGCCCCTCAACGACCGCGAGAAAGCCACAGGCTACAAAATGGCTGTGAACGTGGATGAGATGAGAGGGACCATAACTGTGCATAAAACAGACTCCTCCAACGAGCCTCCCAAGACATTTACATTTGACACAGTGTTTGGACCAGAGAGTAAACAGCTGGATGTCTATAATTTAACTGCAAGACCTATCATTGACTCTGTCCTAGAGGGATACAATGGTAAGTCCTGTGTTTTAAGTGAAGGATCCCAACCCATCTCCTATTCTTTGCCTTGTTGGAGTTCCAGCTGATCTTGTTTAAGGGAGTTTCACCTTCTGAGGGCTGTGGCCCTGTGTTGTCTCTGTTGTGGCTGTGAACTTAAAATAGCCTGGAGGTACTTGCTGTTCTGAGTGCTCAGTGGTTGTACCCACTGTGATCATTAACACTGGGAGACTGGTGATGAACAAGATTCAGCTGAGGTCAGTTAGCTCTGTTTTTATCCCATATCTTCTCTTTGCAAAAGTCTGCGCTTTATCTTATTGTCAGAGTTCTCAGTGGCTCTTCCCTGTCCAGTGCCAGCACCCAGGCAGCTGCCACGGCTCTGCAGCGCTAGGTATGCACACAGACCTCTGCAGAGAACTGCTGCACTCTTAACTCTGAACTTGGCTGTTTTGAACTAAGATGACTACTTAAACACATCTAGCCTACCTCACAGACAGTCCATTGCTTCCTGCAGCTGGGAAGAGTATGGCCATGATTTGTGTGTGTGTCTGTTATGCATGGAAATGTATTATACAAAGGAAAGCAGATCACTGCCTTCTGTAACAGTGTGCTACAAACAACAGCAGTTTACAAAATTTTTCAGCGTTTGTAAAATGCCTCATAAGCTCTTGTGCTAACACACATGGGTTTCAGCTGATTAAAATTTGGGGTTCAAAAATGGATGGTTCAGAGCTGTGCTGGAGGAGGTTTAGACTGGACATTGGGAAGCATTTCTTTACTGAGACACTGGAACAGGCTTCCTAGAGAGGTGGTCAATGCCCCAAGCCTGTCAGTGTTTGAGACATTTCGACAGTGCCCTTAACAACAAGCTTAATTTTTGGTCAACCCTGAATTGGTTGGGCAGTTGGACTAGAGGATCATTGTAGGTCCCTTTCACCCAAAATATTCTTTTCAGTTTTCCAGTCTGTAATGGCTTGACAATGAAAGCTTGAGTTTTCAGCAGTGCTAGGCTAAAACTAAGAACTGTTATATTTCTGGAGTTCCAGAGTCAGGGGTCTCAGTGACATTTCTGGATGTCTTTCTGTGAAGGCTGATTCTCTAGTCCAAACTGTAGCTGCACCTGCAGGTTCAGAGCTGGGCTTGTGCTGTGGCTGTGCTGGAGAACCCTCACACCCTTTCTGCTGTGGCTTAGAGCAGTAGTTGGGTTTGCAGTTGGTGCATAATCGTCTTCTGCTAATTGACCACATTATTAATTGGGCTTGCCTGCATTCTTTGTATGTGGAACCTAAGTGTACTAGTACTCCAGACTTTAATCACTCTGCACAATTAAAAACAGCTGACTTTTTATTAGGCATCTTGCAGGCTGGATTGAACAGTGTCTCAGCCCCGTTTGCTGTGTTTGCCCAGCATTTCTGTTGCCCCAACCTTGTACAGTAGCTACTGGAGTGGGTGGAAGATTTCAGCTCCATAACAATAGAGGTGTTTAGTGCTATCAGGCTAAGAAGGGTTGAGATAAAACTTCAGTTACCAATTTCTTAGAGTTTGCTCATTTATCTTGTCCCCCAGGTACTATTTTTGCATATGGGCAGACTGGAACAGGCAAAACTTTCACCATGGAAGGGGTCCGAGCAGTTCCTGAGCTCAGAGGCATCATTCCCAATTCCTTTGCTCATATATTTGGTCACATTGCCAAGGCAGAGGGGGACACAAGGTAAACAGCTTCTCTTCGCTGCTTCTGTCTTTTCTGTGTGTGTCCATGTGTAGCAGGAGCCTGACCTTGACAATGGTAACTGAAATGGTACCTCTGGCCCGAGCTGAAAGGCTCCTACTGAGGTAGTTCTTGAGGGGGCAGCAAGATTGTGTTGATATTTCACTGCATTTTCACTCTGTGATTGTGTTTGTGGGACATGAGCAAATTCTCCCTAAACAAACTGTTCATGTTCAGGTTCTTGGTTCGTGTCTCTTACCTGGAGATTTACAATGAGGAAGTGCGGGACCTGCTGGGAAAGGACCAGACACAGAGGTTAGAGGTGAGCCTGCTCTTCTCAAAGTGGTGTTTGCTTGGACTCAGAGAGCAGTATTCTGCTTTTGAGGCCAGAGCAGCACTTGAAGGGAAGTGGGAGGTTGGGCTCCTCAGCAGTCCTCTTTCCTTGCAGACAGAGGTAGCTGGCTATCACTCCTGGCTTCTCTGAATCCCTTCCACCTGGCTGTTCCATCCAGTCACTTTTGTACCTGCAGTGCTACCCCACAGGCCCCTCAGCAGTTCTAGGAATTGGAGAGTGAGACTTGAAGTCATGTCTTGCCCCCAGGGGAAAACTGTGGAATGTTGTTATGCATGAGTGTTTATTCCTTATCTGCTCTGAGTGTTTTATGTGCAAACCAGAACCTGGAGGGGTGAATCACTGCACTGTTACAGTACCACTGAGAACTGCTGCTGGGGGTCTCTTAGGGATGCTCAGTCTGAACTGTTTCTCTCTTAGGTTAAAGAGAGACCTGATGTGGGAGTTTATATCAAAGACCTCTCAGCTTATGTCGTAAACAATGCAGATGATATGGACAGAATCATGACTCTGGGCCACAAGAACCGTACGTAGCCTTGCTGGGGGCAGGTTAAAGCTCAGACAGAGCAAAGGGCTGCTTACAGAGCACAGGGAGAGACCCTGGTCCTGTTGCTGGGAAGGTTGTTCAGCTGAGCAGAATAGAAAGGTTATCTTGTCCCAAACCCCTTTTGCGTAGGGGCAGGTGAAGAAGGCTGTGCCTCCCACATTGGGCAGTGCCAGCAGGGGATCAGCAAAGGCAGGATGCAGTGAGGGCAGTCAGTGTTGTCAGAACTGCTACTGTGTCTCTTGGTCCTTTTCCCTCTTCAGTTCTGATCAGGATAAGCATTAGCCCTGTGCTGTGAGTGGGAGGTGGTTTATGTGTTCTGCAAGACTTCTTTGTTAAGATCAGATTATTTAATG